AGACCAAAAGATCCTCAAAAGCTAGACATCATGCTGCGATCCAAAGAAATTCAGGAACAAATGAGAAACAAAGTAATTGAGATCTATCAGTCTGGAAAAGGTTACAAAGCCATTTCTAAAGCTTTGGGACTCCAGCGAACCACAGTGAGAGCCATTATCCACAAATGGCGAAAACATGGAACAGTGGTGAACCTTCCCAGGAGTGGCCGGCCGACCAAAATTATACTAGAAAGATATATACTATATCTATCTATCTGTCTGTCTGTCTATCTTTCTAGTGTATGCTGTTCATTTAATTATTTCCTAGACTTCTAGCACTTCTTTTTACTTCTAGCAACACCTGTATCCTCTGGGGATCAATAAAGGCTTCTCTTATCTAACTGGGCTTGAATGTAAGTTTCTAAGTTAAACAGAAACCTGCTTTAACAACTTTAACTGGACAGGTATATCCAATCTCAGCAACGTCTTTGGGTGAAGGCTCACTATTTGTACTTAATCTGTTGCAACTCACAAATCCGGTCCACTCTGCTATTGTAAACAAATGTGATGCACATGTGGTTTGCGTCAACAGACTGAGTGGCCGTGCAAGAGTTCCCCAGTAGATGGCGCTAGAGCCGCAACACTACAATTAATACTAATGTGTCTTTAAGTTACACTGATCATTTAGATTAAAGTACAAACTCATTAGTACCTGGTATAGTAAAGACACTGCAGCACGTGGCATTGTGTATCTGAGCCTCGTTCACTGCTATTTCAGACAGTTTAGTGTTCAGCAGTGATCTGAGCGAAGATATAGCTACATGGAGCTAAACTGTAGCATTGACAACACTTGCATAATATTGACCACAACAACCGAACGTCATAAAACGTTGTAAAACACCCCAGTGTTGCAGTGGTTTTACTTTAATTGTCCTGCCTTCAGATCTGACCTCAAGTGGTCAGCTAACCATCTTCCGCTTAGTTGGCCTTTAGCTTTGACAGAAGTAGCTAAAGAGTAGCTAACTGACTCACTCACCCAAACATCGCTCCGAAAAACGATGATGATGATTTCATTTTCTTGTCAGCCTCGGCCACTAAAGCCATTGCTTCCTTTTCTTTCCCGCTATTGTCCATTTTTCGTGTCACTGCTCTGATGTTGAGGGAAGACCGAGAAAATGCGAAAGTCAACAAACTTGCTAATCGGTGCTAACAGGAGCGAATTTGGTTTGTCTTGTCACGTCACGTCACGTCACCCCTGGCACGTGACACGGGGGCTGCTGCTGCGTTCAGGTGCTCTTCGTAAGCTCCTACTTCTATCCTCCCAAACAACAATAACACGGTGTAGAAAATGTACTCAAAGTCATGCATTCAATATTGTACTTATTTAAAAGAACAAGTATTAGCATTAATATATACTCGTGCAAAAAATAAATCAAAGCACTCCTTGTGCAGAATGTGCAAGTTCATTAAAGTGTTTAATACATTATCGTATAAAGATGCACACAATGGAAATACTCAGGGACAAGTACCTCAACATTGTGCTTAATACGGTACTTGAGTAAATGTTTTGTTACAGAACGGAAATGCAAAATAATGATGCTGGCCATATGTAGGTGACTAATTTACTTCATAAGTGTAATGCATAAAGCAATATAGAAATGGGAATGAACCACAAACATATTCCCTCTTGTGAACATAAGACCAGTCCTCATACATCCATTCATCTGCTACCCGTTTACCCTTTGAAAGGTTGCAAGGTGCTGGGTCCAATCCCGGGTGAGGTCGCCTGTTATTCACAGGGCTGACACCCACAACGTTGTTATTGTGAATAATATTGTAATATTTTTTTAGTTGTCATATTAAACTCATGTAATGGTTATTTTCTCTCAGTAAATTGTGTAAAGACAGTAGAAGTTCTTTATTTCCTCGCAGGATCCTTAGACTTGGGTAAATGTTTCAGAGTCCAGCCCCTGTTTAATAATTGTGGAGATCTTATAGCAGTTGTTAAACAAAAATGAGAATTAAATTTAGCCTATTCTTCAGCTGAGCAGATCTGCAAAACTGCAAAGCACCTACTTGATGTTTAACGATATTTTGTCACATTGATTAATAATTGTGTTTGTTATGATCCTTTTTAATGACAATATTTTTATTTCACAGTGTTGTGGAATATGTTTGTTTTGCTACTCTATGCTGATCTATTTCATTTTAAGGCTCATCTGATTATTTAAAGTCTTGGCGCAACATCTGCAACATTTAGGACCAAACATTGGCATTCACATTTTAACCTACTGCATAATCTTCTTGTTGACTACTTTGAGTCAGATGGCCAAATATTTCCTGCTCTGAAAGTGAATAAAAATCATGACTGTGGCTATTATGTAAGCCTTTAACCAGATGATTTAGTAATACACAGCTGCCCTCGGGTTTAGAGGTCCCTTCCTGCCTGAAAAGGAGACTTTTCAAAAACATATGATTCTCCCAAATGCTGATCAGCAAAGCTTTCCCCAAACATGACAGTATCGCTACCATATTTGATTCTTGGTATAAGAGGTTGGAGAAGCATCAATTAATTTTAGTCCAACTGTCTGAAAAAGCTTTTTGTATTGATTTATCTGGTCAGTTTCTGTTCTTCCAGATTCCAGTTTAAGCTTTGGATCAGGATGTTTCACTTATAGCTCTGCCAGGCAAAATGTAGTCGGTTAGTTCTTGGATGATTAAAAGTATAATAATTAGCCTGACAGCCATTATGAGGAAAAGTCCCCAAATTTCCAATGTTCCAAACTAATTGGACAGTGTGTCCACAAAGACTGTGCAAGCCTTCAGTATCTGAAAGTGAGGATACGTGCAAGTTATATTTGCTATTGATTAGGGAAACAAATAAGGCCTTATTGGTCATCAACCTTCCAAGCATTCAGAATGTTTTTATCATTGATGATTAGGTTTTCCACATGATATCCACTTGTGTGATTACATTGCACAAACGTAAAAGTATTGGAATTTGTTTTAAATCGCAGATTCCATCGGCAGTAAAATGCAAAATGCTCAGTAATATGAATCCAGAAACGTCATATATTAAAACAGTGACAGGGAAAATTTGAATGAGCGCCTTTACTTGTGGGAACGTTACTTAAACTTAAGTAGCCTAACTTGCTGATATATTTACAAAACCTTACTTTTACATACTTAAATTAAGGTTTTGAATGCAAGACTTTTACCAGTAGTTGAGTATTTGTTGATTAGGCATTAGTACTTTACTTTTACTTAAGTATTACTGAAGTACAAGGTCTTCTGAATACGTCTTCAGACCATAGCTTCAGCTCCAGACGAGGCACAACAACTTTCATTCAGGCAAAGCGGAAGTCTCCTGTTTCCTGCCTGTAGTTGGGTCCTGTACAGCAGCCCGTGCGAGGCTGTCCTGGAGACCCCGCGTTGCCTGCACCGCTATCGTCTCGGGTGAGTTTGTTACAAATGTTGAGATTTCTCTATTTATCCACATAACTGTTAAAAAGCTGCATTTTTCACGCGCTGCAGCGAAGCCGCAAACTGCACAGCTATAGCAACCGAAACGCCACATTGCTGCATGGCCCAGCTCACATAGTCATTTTCCACCGAATTCCCAAGCATACCCCCCTTCATCCAAGAGTATTCCAACATTTACTCATATTTTGCTTGCAAGGAGAGATAGATAGCTCGCTACGCAATTGCCGTTACACTTCTAAGCAAACAGTACTGTCATGTTGAGGTTGAATCGAGGTGCTGCTGTGCAATATGAGTGTTACATTTGTGTCACTCTGTGGTTTGTTTTGAATGTCAAAGGCTCAAGCTAGCTGTGCGTCTGAATATTGTTGATAGCTGGGTTGGCTTAGCAGGCTAGCTAGCTAGGCTAACGAAATTCAATCCAGATGCATCAAAATGCTGGAAATTGACGTAAAACGGGGTTTTGAAATTCAACGTTTTATTAAATTAGAGTCTTAAGCCACTTGTGTTGCTGTTTGATATTGTGTAATACAAAGAATCGGCAAAATATGCATGCAAAAGCTCTCCGAAAACAGCAGCTAGCATGTAGCAAGCCGCTTGCAGTCTCCATTCATATCCTGCGCACTGGCTGCTCAGACCAAGTAATGGCTACGGTACTGTGCCTTTTTAGAGCGGCAACTGGGGATGCGTTCCCCTCACAACCGTGGGCATATGTGTGTTAGGAAACATCGTTGACTTGTTGTTTTGGTGTCCAAATCTGGAAAGATTAAGAGCCCGCACTCTTTAATCTTTCCAGGTTGTGTGAAAACCGCGCGTTTTCAGTTTGTTGTCTTTTTGCCGTCCGCTGTTTCTCAGTGAGTAGCAAACAAAACTGCTGCTTGAGCTCATAATAGGTTTGTGTGGACGGATTTGTTATTGAGTGTGTGTGTGTGAAAAAATGACATGATACAACTGATGATGACGATGGGGTTATGTGTTAAAATGTAAACTAATTTCTTTATTTAAGTGTAGTTGCCCCCAAGCTGCAGAGACGTCTGACAGCTCTACTGATGTCATGTTTTGAGTCATTACTCGTAATTTGAATGTGACAAAACAGGCCTTGCGAGATAAACTATTCACATTTGGCATTGATTTTTGTAATCACAAAAAATATATACATATAAAAAAATTTTTTATTGCAAGGGAGATTGTTGTGCAGTAGTTGTAGTTGAAAGTGGGAAAGAGTGCAAAATAAACGATAAAGAAAATCAAGAATGTAAACATGTAGATTAGTCAAAAGAACTACAGGTTTCTATATTTAGTCTTTGGGGGAATTTGTAAGAACGATGAGTAAATAGAGTAATTAATTCCTACCGATACAAAGCCGAAGCTGGTTTAAGGTCTCACGTTGCATTTAACCAACATGTACCCCTATACTACCTTATATATTATAAGAGGAATTAAGAAGCTTAAATAAAAGTTATTTGAAATTATATTTAGTCGTCTTGTTGTAATTCTAGTGTAGTCTGTGTAGTACAGCATCAACATAGCAACATACATGTGTGATAATGATATTCTGCAGAACTTTGCTGAAATAATCCAATAAATGCCATTTTAATGTTTTTACTCTGAAATGATTGTTGATAATAAACAACCACATGACATTGCTCCTTCTCACACTGAGGAGCATTTGAAGAAGTTCAACACAATACATCAGCACTCATGTCCCACTAAACAACTAAAGCACCAAATATGGAGCTAGAATATCAAACACAATATGGGGAAGTTATAATAACAATATAAAAGAAATGTAACTGAACTTATGGTTGGACATATTATTAATTAGGGGTAAGGGTCATTTTTGTGTTTTTTTTTTAAATTTTTGTTCTTGATAATGAAACCAATCAATGGACTTAAAACCTGTTTCGTCTTTAACAGTTGTCATGGATGATGAAGATGGCAGGTGCCTTCTAGATGTAATTTGGTAAGTCATTGCTGACACGGTGCAAGAGCAGTTTTCTATTCAACAAAGGGTTTAGTCTTCTCTTTCATCTCGTTTTGTACTGTTGTGAATCACATTGTTTTCTCCTGCAGTGACCCAGAAGCTCTCAATGACTTTCTTCATGGATCTGAGACCCATGTGAGTATGAGAGAGAAAAAAGTAAACGTAGACACGTATGTTACGCGTGTCAATTCTTGTTACAGAAAATTGGTTTTGTCATTGATGGGATGAGGAGTCTTAGGTGTGCGCATTTCATGTTGGGGCTTGCATGACTTCGTACTTATGTCACTTTCGGATTACACGTACATGCACCCTGAAACTCACGTCCCGCACTACCTTCATTTATTCTTTTTTTTTTTTATGGCTTCCTCTGCTCAACGGTTGTCTTTGCTTTTTAATTGCACTATTTATGCTTTCAGCCTGCCTTCCCTTTTTAATTAGGCTAATTCACAAAATGAGAAATGCTAATACTAACGCTTCCCAACTCTGTGTTATTCCTATCATTTTGTCCCTCTGTCGCTTATCCTTTTGCTGGTTCTTAACTTTCTGGGTTCTCTGGTCTGTTTTTCTGTCCTTTCCTTGTCCTCCTCTGTTTGATGGTCTGTGTGTTTCTCTGTCCTGGTGGCTTTTGCTTGCTGGTTTGGGTGCCTTTGGTTTCTGTCTGTCCTATCCTGGGTGGGTGTGTCTGTAGTTGGACACTGACGACCTATTGGATGGTTCGAGTGACCCCTCAAGCTCGTTCTTCTCTACTACTGGGGTGAGTAAAATCCCCCAATCCTTCTCCTTCTGTTTTCTATCCATCTATGTAGCATGCATCTCCAAATACCCTCCCTTTCCACTAACATACCTCCACTCTTTGATTTGCCACAATATTACAAGAGGTTTTAGTTTTTTGTGGGGTTTTTCGCGTCTGTATTTCTGTGGTAACTCTGTCGCGCTTCTCACCATCACATCGAGACATCATTTACATCCATCACCTTGTTTCACTTCTTTCCTGCTTTCATTTTAAGGGCCATGTTCCAGAGGTCCAACCTGCAGTCCAGCTGTCGGCCAATGAGCCGGCAGGCCTACCCAGAGTCAGTGTTGACCTGGACTTCCTGGAGGATGATGACATCTTGGGAGGATCCCCGGGTGGTGATGGTGGGAGCAATGGGATTGGGACAAATCACGAGCCATGTGACATCCTGCAGCAGAGTTTGGCTGAAGCCAACATCACAGAGCAGAGCTTACAGGAGGCAGAGGCTGAGCTGGACCTGGGCTCCTTTGGAATTCCAGGCCTTACGCAGGTGGTACAGACGCTGCCTGATGTCAGCCTCTCTGGTGCTGGAGGCACTGCGGTTGGTGTAGGCATTGGTGTTGGGGGAGCAGCAGCAATTTTCCCTGGGTCAGCCCCGAGCGCCACGGCTACTCTTCCCAATGCCACAGCTGACATGTTGGGGTCCGTGCTTGCTCAGCAGGGCCTTCAACTCCAACCCCAGGTCATGAACAAGGCCATTAGTGTTCAGCCATTTATGCAGCCTATGGGCCTGGGAAATGTGACGCTTCAACCCATTTCAAGTCTCCAAGCTCTTCCTAATGGGAGTCAGTCTGGACATCTGGGTATCGGACAGATTCAGGTTGTGGGTCAGCCTACAGTCATGACTATCAATCAGTCTGGGCAGCCAATCCTGGCTAAAGCCATGGGTGGTTACCAGTTACACCAGTCTGGGCCAGAGGTGTCAGGTGCTGGTTCTCAGGTGGGGCTTGGAGGCTCAGGGGGTGGACTTCTGATCCAAGGTAACAAAGCCACTTTGGGATCTCCAGCTTTAAATGGACCGTCTGTTTGTGTCAGCAGCACAAACAGCAGCAGTGGCGGTACAATGACTTCTGCTGGGCTTCTTGGCTTTGGCAGCACCACTTTAAGTTCAGGAATTGGACCCCAGATGCAAACTCAAGGCCAAATCATGCAGAACGTGATCATCCAGCGCACACCAACACCCATTCAGCCTAAACCCCCTCAGGGGGGAGCCATCCAACCGAAACTCTTCAAACAGCAGCAGCAGCACCCACAGACAGCACCCCAACCCTTGCAAAACGATGCCCACAAGGCTCTAGGGCTGCAACAAATTCCAGTTTCTGCTGCTCAGAATGTAGCCTTCCTGACAGGAAAGCCGGGCTCAAACGTTGTCCTGAGTACTCAAGCCACAACACAAGGCACACAGTTTCAGCAAACGCTATTCAAGCAACAAGCATCACAACCATCTGGCAAGCCCCTCAGTGTACACTTGTTAAATCAACAAGGCAGCATCGTTATTCCCTCTCAGACAGTTCTGCAAGGTCAGAATCACCAGTTCCTCCTGCCACAGCTACAAGCAGGTGGGCAGATCCTGACCCAGCACCCTGGGGGGCACATCATAACTAGTCAGGGACCTGGTGGACAGCTCATCGCAAACCAGATCAACTTGGGTCAGATGTTGACTTCACAGGGCCACCCTGGGGCTGCCCACATCCTATCTGGATCCATTCAGCTCCAACCTGGCCAGATGGGCACACCCACCCTCTTTCAGATGCCTGTCTCATTGGCTCAGAGTCAAAGCCAGACACAGACCCACACTGTCTCGGGTCATGCCCAGACAGTCATACAGGGCATGCCGATCCAGAACTCCCTGACCATGCTTAGTCAGGTGGAGGGGCTGAGCCCTGCAGTCAGCCTTCAGCCAGCCCTGCACCCCCAACTAGGTGGTGTCCCCAGCAGCAGCAGCAGCACAGGAGCAGCAACCATGGCTCAAGGCCAGCCCGGAGAGTGTGTTACTGTGCTGGGTAGCTCCACAGACCAGGCTGCTCATCCCACTCAGCAGCAGGCAACGCAATCCTCTATCCTCGCCATGCAACCCGGTTCCTCTGTGTCCACTGTTACCACAGTCCCCTCTTCTTCTCCGTCCATGTCTGTGTCCACCTCTTCCTCTGTCACAGCAGTGGGGCTGGTCCCCCATCAGGCTCAGCACAGTCCAGGGAGGTTACTGTTCACCAACCAGGGCTCCAGTATGATCCTGAGCCAGGAGTCTCTGCAGATGTTCTTGCAACAGGTCAGTGTTCCACTCTTTGCATGTTTGCTTTAATTGTGTACTGTACAGTTAACATTGTCTTAAAAATGAATAACATGCACGGAGTGTTATCTTGCTCTGACCTCTTTGGTGTACTATTTTACTCCCCATTCCCTCCAATCCCCTTCTTCCTTCCCTCCCTCGTCCTGAAATGGTAAATGTAATGTACTCCTATCAGGAGCAGCACCACCAATCAGAGAACGAGTCAACCCCCTCTGTGGGCGTACCAGCGTCTGTAATCGTCAGCAGCAACAGCGTCACTGCTCCGGCCCCCGCTGTCCATGACAGCCAATTAACTGACTCATGGGTGGGTCAGAGACACAGCCCTTCCCCTGGCCCCTCCCACATGACAGCTGTGGTAAAGCAGGTAGAATTGCCCCTTTATGTTAAGCCCCACCCACTTGTTGCAGCTGCTGCCGCCACAGTGTTAGGGTATATCTTATCTTTCCCCATCACTGCTCTGTTCTTCTCTTCTGCATTAGTCATTGCTTCCATCGCTCTTCCTAAGCTCAATAATTACTCGCTTGCAGCCTCTGTGTTTTTCTAACATCGCTTTGTTACATGTAAAGGCATGATCATTCCAGTTGTCCACATGTACTGTGTGTCAGCCATTGGGCCATTTCAATATTTAGCTGTATGCACGGCTATAGAATGTAGGACTGGCAATCAAGTGCCAGCACTTTTTTTTTTTTTTTTTTTTTTTTTTTTTAATTGATGAAATTGTTGAACTAATTTGGTATGTTTTTCATCCATTGTACTCTATGTATTTGGTAACAGACTACAAAAACCATGCTCATGCTTTTAATAAAAGAGACACCAAGGTGCCAAGTGGCCCTCTTCACAGCTGACGTTTTGACTCGTCATTGCAGGGCAAAGACAGGTGTAGTGTATAACATTGATTGTGGCCCTGTTTCATTTAGGTGCACCAGCGCCCAGGTATGGTTCATGCTGGCTCACTGGAATGACAATGGGCCCATAATTAATTGTATTAATAACACCTGTGTTTACCCTGCTGTGAAAAGGGCCGATTGCAACTTGTTCACCTCTTCACTGACACTCTGCTCAATCAGAATCACTCAACTCACCTCCATGTGCTGCATCACTGACCAATGACCGATCAATCCATCCACACCTCTGTCAACCCTGCCCTTGTTGTTTCCACTGTCTCGTGCTTACAGTGCCACTGCCCCGTGTAGCCCCTAGTCTGACCAGCAATGACCCCCAAATGATAATTCATGCTCCCCTGACCCCAGTCCCCGAAGTCTTCAGACCACCTTCTACTTCTCCATCACAGGCCCGCAGAGTTTGACCTATTGCTTTTGTCAACTGTTTTTCTGTTTGGCTCGCCAAATGATCATTGCTCCCTTTTATGTGTGATCCTCCTCAAACACTAGAAAAACAATCAGTGGGCTCCTACTACTTCTACTTCAGCAACTACTAGATTTTAAAGTCTAACCCTTTGCTTTTGTATTGTTTCGTGTCGTTTTACCCACGTTTGTGTAGTTTTGTATCGGGGTTGGGCGATAATTCATATTTTCATATACATTGATTTTCAGTGGAATTATAATATTGATCATTGTCATTTTACTGTTGTGCAAAGTAACCATTTCAAGCAAAGTATGATTAAACTCCAGCAAAGTAATGTATTGTTTGTTTTACATTAGTAAAGTTTTTAATGCAATGCATAACAGTGGAACACTGTCGTTACATTAAAACATTTTACACATAATGCATATCATAATATATATTTAAATCTGAATTAAGATTCTCATATCGCCCAGCCCTATTTCTAGTGTCAAATCTTGAACCATGAACTAGAATCCTGTTTACTACACTGTTTGCATGCAGAACAGTGTGTGATTTTGTGCTTGATTTTTTTTTCTCCTCCGTTATGTATTTTAACATTGTTTGCATTCTTGGATCAGTTCAGCGTATCGGTAATTTGTGATTCCACTTCTTCAGGTACCCTCCAGTGGACACCAGACGTCCCTGAAGATCCAGGGCATGTCGCCGGTGTTGTCCGCTCACGGCACAGCGCTCCCGGTGGCAGACAGCCCCCAGCCTGCCCAGTCTCCTCTCACCCTGAGCCAGCAGATCCAGTCACCGCACCATCAACAGCAGTCGCGTCCTCCCTCCCAGCCTCAGCCACAGTCTCTAACTCCCTCCCGCTCATGCACGCCCTCGAATCACCCTCAGCTCTTTATTGTACATAACCAAATGGCGGAGTCCCCCCAACCTGCTCAACAAGGCCAGCCGCAGCAGACACACATTCAAGTTCAGCTTCAGCCTCAGCCACGACCGGCCTCACAGCCTGCCCCTTATCAACAAGATATGCCTCCCATGTCACAGTCACCCAAGCCTCCTCCTACACCACCTGCACAGCACCAGTTTAGTGCTGCTCCTGTCAGCGCTTCTGCCACTGCTGTAGTTAAAGCCCAGGTTCCCATCCAGGTCCTGACAGCAGAGCAGCAACACCACCTGCAATTAATAGGAGCGCAAATTCAGACCCTGTCAGCCATCACCCAGCCCTCGCCTCAGCAGAAACAGCTGCTGGAGAAGCTACACCAGGTACAGACCCAGTTCACCACACACTTCTTAGAAATGAAACATTGTCATGGCATTTACATGCAATGAGGGGTCTTGTGTATTTTTACCTCACATGCTACTTCTTCACCCTCCTGTAGTGAACGTGTGCTGTAAAAATTCAGAACAACATTAACCGTGTAGTGTTTTTTTTATCTGATTCAGCTCATACTGTTGAAGATTGTAATGCATGCAAAGCATATTTTCCTCCATTCAAACGAGTTCAATATATTGAAACGAGGGCAATAACATCCCATAAGTTACTACTTACAGTAGGTAAGTATACCTGGTATGTTTCTGCGCTCCTTCACACTGTTGTAGAAAGAAAAACTAAATAACGAAAAAAAAGGCATCACTTCCAACCAGTACAAACCAGTAGTCGGAGTAGGCTTTGGGAAACCAAACTGGTGCATCTAGGATTTCTTTGTGTACGAAAAAAAATCTTTCACAACGTAAGAAAACTGTCCTGATGTGTTTTCAGGTTCAGCAGAACATCCTGCTGCAGGCCAAGCAGTCTGCTCAGCCTCAGGTCAGCAGTCAGTTCAGCTCCCAGCAAGACATGCCTGTTGAGAAAGTGGTGCTTACATCATCAACCAACACCGGCACACCTGCTCAGCTTCTCTCAGTGCTGCAGCCGACGCCGCTGCTCGTCCAAAGTCCTGCTACAGGTCAGACACGATTTGCCACAGACGACGCAACACGGCAGGGCCCTAAACACACCGAAGTAGGATTCCACTTTGTAATACTTTGTTTCCTCTTGTTTTAGCATCAAGTGACTTACAGGTATTCTCAGGAGCCCAAGGGCCAGCTGGAGCAATGGTGAATCAGACTGTCACTCCTGCTAGCCTTACCCAGCCTGTACAGGTACAACGCACACCTCAAAGCCAGTTCCTCTCTAAGACATGCAAGATGGTCATTGTGTGTAGCTGTAAAAATGTGTACTTTCGTGTATTTTTGTCAGTTTACGATCTTGCTTCTGATTTTCCCCCACAGGTTCAGCCAAAGCCAGGGGTGATCAGCTCAGTGGGAGGGATAACTCTGGGGAATAGTGGGATGCAGATACAGGTGATAGGCGCTAGTCTTACTCAAATGCCTGCTCCACAGCCCCCAGCTCCAGTACAAACTCAGGTAAAGGAGTGCCACCGCATGCTAGTGAGGTCCTGAACAAACTGCCTCTAAGCTCGAAGGCGTAACCTCTGTTTTTAATGTTTGTTCACATCACAGACAACAACGATGATGCCTTTCAGTGCAGAGCCCAGCAAAGAGGCCAGGTATGTGCTGCACTCATTTTCATGGCTCATTTCAACTGTCTCATAATAGCATTTTTGTAAATAATATTTCTGTATCCACACGCATCACTGCAGGATGCTAGAACAGCTGAGGAAACAGCAGGGTTCAGTGCTTCACCCGAACTACAGTGCTCCTTTCTACTCTGTTGAGGACACACTGCACAGACTGCTGCCTTACCATCTCTACCAGGGAACTGCCAACTCTTCTGAAGACTATCAAAGAGGTGCACACAGGGGACACTCCATAGCCCGCAGTGCAGCCAATATACATTTTAGTACCGTTTTTATTTCTTCCAATTTCGCGATATTCATTCTTGGTTCTCCTGCACAGTGGATGATGAATTTGAGACTGTTTCCTGCCAACTGCTGAAAAGGACCCAGGCCATGCTGGATAAGTATCGCCACCTGCTCTTTGCAGAGTCAAAAGTAAGTTTATAAACCGACATTCTCACCATGTGCCTTTTTTATGTCGTCTTTCTCCTGAATTGATATTGAACTGATGTTTTTCGGTGTTTAAACCTGAGCAGAGACTTGGCCCCTCGGCAGAGATGGTGATGATAGACCGGATGTTCATTCAGGAGGAAAAGATTGCGTTGAGTCAGGACAGGATTTTGGCCAAGGAGAGACCAGGTACCCTACCACTGTTTGTGGCCATCAATGGCTTTGTGGTTGTCTTGATCTAAATTAGGTGTATGCTGATAATATAATTCTGTTTATTTAATTGCAGAGGAGTTTGTGGCAAACGCTCGCATGTTGGAGAGTGTAGTTTCATCCCAACATAAATCCTCGTCTGCTGAGTCCACATCGTTGAGTGGAGGTGTACCTGCTGCTGTCCCTGCTCCACCACCTGCAGCTCCTGCCCCAGCCCCTCTCCCAAACATTGCCCCAAATCCCCCTCCTGCACCCACCCCATCTCCAGTTCCTGTTCCAGTTCCTGCCCCAGCTCCAGCACCTCCTTCCGCCAACCCTTTCCCCTCTACCAAACTAGTAATAAAGCAGGGTGGGGGTGGAGCCTCTGTGTCCTGGTCCAGCAGCTGTCCTCCAGCTGCAGCGAGCAGGCTGTCCGTACCCACCAGCCAGAGCTCCTCCTTCAGTCGCGCTCCAGCAGCATCGTCTTCTTTCTCCTCTTCGTCCTTCAACTCTCCGGCGGCCGACGATGACGACGCTCTCCCACAAAGAACCAGCAAACCGCCGATGAAGACCTACGAGGCTCGAAGGAGAATTGGCTTGAAGCTGAAGATCAAGCAGGATCAAACGGGGTTCAGTAAGGTGGTCCACAACACTGCCTTAGACCCAGTGCACACACCACAACCTCAGCAGAGCAGCAAGTCCACATCCCAGCCCCAGACTCAGCCCCAGTTTGAAGCTGCTGTACCGCAGCCAAAGTCCACACCTCTATCAACCCCTCCTGCTACAGTCATCAGAACTCAGTCCCCTGTGTGCACTGCTTCTTCTGCCTCATCGGTCACCACAACAACCACTCAGTGTAACCCACCACTGAGAGGTAATGTTCCCCCCACTGCAGCCCCATCTTCCTCTACCTCTTCCTCTCACACGTGGTCATTGTCCACCTCCTCCTCCTCCTCCTCCTCCTCCACTCAAATGAATGGGACATTGGATCACGACAACGTGGGTCGGGTCAAACACAATTCTGCCTCCACTGCCACTCCCTCACAGACAACATGCCGTCTCCCCCTTCGAAAAACCTACCGGGAAAACATAAGTCCCCGCGTGAGACCTGGTGTCCCAGGGGGAGGAGACGAAAGTTTGTCCTACCCCAGACCCACACCGTCACCCCCCAGGCACGAGGCCTCCCCCTCTCCCCCCTCAGAGCGGACAGTTATAGCCAGCGTGAAGGTGGAGAAACGAGGCAGGGAGGCCTCACACACTCACGCAGAGTCAAGCCCCGAAACGGGCCGATTAGGGAGTGCAATGCAGGGGCTGGACGAAATGGACGAGGTGTTTAATCGTGGTATCAAAACGGCACAACACCATCATCTCCCACAGCTCCTAGACAGGGAGGGGGCAAAGGAGAGAGGAGAGGAGCGCACAGACCCAGAAACGGATGTAAGTAAATACAAGAGGGCGAGTGGGAAAAACAGACATAGGGCAGGTGGGAAATTCCGAATGGACCAGCATGCCCCTGGGCCTCCCTCTCCGGAGTCCTCCTTCACACGAGACTCTTTGCTTCCTGCAAAACGCTGCAAGTCGGACTCTCCCGACATGGATAACGCCAGCTTCTCCAGCGGCAGCCCTCCGGATGACTCTCTGAACGAACACCTGCAGTGTGCCATCGACAGCATCCTGAACCTGCAGCAGGAGCCCTCTGCCCGTGGGCACCACGTCAAAGGGAGCAACAGCAGGTCCCACCAAAGCCAGCGCCCAGGGGGCTCGGCAGCCTCATCCCACAGACCCTCAGTACCACCCTCCTCCTCGGCTTCCTCGTCCTCCTCCTTGGCCCAGCACCCTCAGGTCGGGGGCCGTGGCCACAATGGCAGCCTGGTTCCCCAGACTCAAAGCAGATAACAGCCCCTCAGCCCCAGGCCAGACTGACAAAGGGGGGAACTAAGAGACAGATATGGAGGCAGGGGACGGGGGGCTTTGTGAAAACAGTATCACTGTACTACTCTGCCAAGCTGTGTTGGCTTTGCTTGTCTATTTGAATTGTCCAGACATATCTTTGTCATTTACAGCTTGAGGTAGACCTGTGGTGGAATAAGTGAGAGTGTGGTCAAAGGTAAAACTGTCTTTGTGAATTGCAGACGTTAAGATGTCTGGCGTTTTGTACGTGTTCCCTCAGCCAAGCTCAAGTTATAAGGGAGGGATTTCTTTCTTCCTTTTCCGCTATTGATCTTTTCTTCTCATTTGGTATTCATACATTCCTTTCCTGTGGCCTGAGTCTCTTAACCACGTTGGTTCTTTTGCTGGTTTACACTCAATGTCTCAATGAGCATCAGGCCGCTCATTTAAACAGTTAAGTTGCCAACAACTTGTTTTTCATACAGAGGAGAATACAACCAGGTTTATACAGCAAAACGTCATAATACCTATTGTGTCTTCCCTTACCAATCAAATTTCATTCTCTTATCACAAAGATAAAGCTGCCATGCAAACAGCTCATGCTAAATTGACACGCACCACCTCTTTATCTAGAATACTTGTCCGTAGTTACACTGCTCAGACGGCAACTACTCTTTGTCTGCAAAAAATCAGTTGGCCTCAGCCTCCCTTGAGTCTGCATTTTGCATCGCATGCATTTGAAGCTGTTGACATGTTGAGGACATCCTTTTGAAGAATGCTGAGGTTGTTTTCCTTTTGACTTTTCTTGGGTACTCTAGTTCTGTACTGTCAAGATGTAAATGAAATCTGGTTCTTTTCTGCATCTAATGTGATATGATTTTCCAGGTTTTTGTTTTTCGACCACACCCACACAAACACACTCACACACACACACCTGCTCTCCTGTTGCCTGCGATGCCAGGTTAGGAGTTTATGCATTTCAGTCAGCAGGGGCCAGGCCAGTTTGAACTGTTACTGTTGTTCTCTATCAGTTCCTTTCATCTTTCGGCTACGGTATCTGCCTCCCATCTGTTTCCTTTCTTGTGTCTTTTTTTTAAGCCTGGTGGACAATTCAAACACAAACACAGCACAAGCATTGAAATGGAAAAAAAGGAACAATAATAATGTACAAAAAGACAGTAAGAGAATTTGAAGTATAGTATTACAGATTAATTTTGTATTGTATTTATTGTGTATAATGACACTTTTTAAAAAGAAATGTACATTTAGTAAAACTGTAAATTAAACCGTGCTTCTTTTATGAAACATTGCAGGGTCCTTTAGTCATTTGTCCAGCTTCAGGGCGCATTCTTTTGGATGACTGATGATTGAGGAAAACCGAGTGGTGCTGGTGGTGCTGGGGTGTGTTTTCTATCAGACAGCCAGCAGGCGGTGTATGGAAATGGAAAAGTAGAGCTGGTTTGTGTGCTTCATCGCCTGGAGGATTCACAGAGTTTGGGAGGAGCAAGAGAGTTTAGACTGATGAGGGGAAAACTGTAACATCTGTACACGCATGACATTTTACAGTAGGTTAAGAAGAAAAAAAGCAAGCTGTTGAAAAACATGGAGGACTTAGAGGCTACAGTTGGAAGGGTGCGGCACGAGAATGTTTATCATTCAAAATATGCATAAGGACACTGACGTTCAACTCCACCCAAATTATTCATTCACAACCCCCCCCCCCCCTCCTCCAGGTCCACGCCCTCTGACCACAGCTCTGCTCATCCCTGCCCTGAGCAGAGTGTTAGTGCTGCCCACAGTGTTGCCAGGCATCCCTGGAAGAGGAGGTGCATTCAAACTTGGAGAGGCGAGCAAGGGGGGAGAAAAACTGGCCTGCGTGTGGTGTGCCTTTGTGTCTTACTGTTTGCCTTGTGCTCTTTCAGCAAGCCGAGAAAGGAAGCCCGCCAGACCTGGAGCTCATCTGAAATGCATTAAACCCTGGAGAAGAACGATCCTCTGTAATCTGGCTGCGTAGACGCTCCACGGAGGGTTCCTATTCGCTGTCCAACGTACACCCATACATGTAGCAGCAGCTCCTCCAAGAGTGTTTGTGTCTCCAGTCAAAATATTTTCCAGAGGGCAAGACTGCAGAGAGAGAGAGAGAGGGGGAGCAATCAAGGCGCTTGAAGAAATCCGTGCTTTCTCCATAAAAACTTGGTAAATACTCCTTTTCAAACTTTAAACATGGCTTATAGTGATCAGCATGTATTTTCACTTTTATTCAAATACATCCAGATTGTGAAACGGTAGTGGAAACTGCGACTCGCTGGTTTTTGAGTGTGAATATCACAACTAAGCTGTAGAATTCATGAAATCGCAAACGTTCTAACAGCTTTTTCCTTTGCTTCATTTGGATGTTAAAGTATGACTCCCCTGATACCGGCTGCTCCTGCATGTCACAATTCTTGTTTTCAGTCCAAGACTGTTGCAATTGTGGTGTGCAAACCCACAAGGCATTTTCCACCATCCTTAAACTTTCGAAATTGATCTCATGGAAACCCTGTAAAGCAACTTTTACTCGTACGGCTCGGCTGGCACAGTACTTTTTATGTGTAATGGCGGGCAAATCCCATTTAATGTCTCTCCTGTAGATCTCCAGGCTTCGCCATTTTAACTAAAAGTCTTTCCACTCTGGTCTTGTGACATGTCAGGACTGTGTTGCCTATTCTCCTCTGGGAATTCTTTTCTTCTAAATTTCCGTTTAAATGGGATTTGCAAGAGAGAAACTCTCCACAGATGAGTTAACATCTGCTGACGTGTGTCTTAGCCTTGTTTCTTTGTGTCAGTCTGCTTCTAGTCATGAGTTGTGCCTTCAATTCCTAATCCAGTGATTGTGTTTTATGTAGACTACGGTTCAATTTGGTTTGCACGTATAGACTACCCACTGAGTTTTTGTCCATGGCACGTATTTCATGTTCCAGCAAGAGGAACTGCCCGAGATAAAAGGAATGTCTTACTCATTTCACTGTATTAAAATGAGCGGTGCCTGTGCAAATCCTCACGCAGGGTTGGGTTTGCAAGTTTTCCAGCGTGAACACCAACTTTTTCCAGTCCTGCACTGACAATGCTTGGACAGACTCCTGGTGGGCTGTGGCTTACTCCAGATTCCACATCCTTACACTAGGATGTGGCAGACTTTGATCACCAGGTGCAAGAACACAAAGATACTTTTTTTTTGCCATCTGGATCATCTCTTCCTTTCTCTTTTTTGGATTAACCTCTACTTGTCTCCTATTCTGTCCACATTACAGGGGCTAAGAGTGACCAGACTGTTCCAGAGATCCAGACTTCAAACGTAAACGTCAGCCCTGTCGTCCCTCTCGGTGTGCGCAGAGGAGGTGTCAGGGGAAAGTGAGCAGCGTTCACATAAATACAGGAAACACCTGAAGTTTTTCCAAGGAAATACATCTCCAAACAGACACACTCTGACATAGATCTTTGTAAGAAGCTCCCTGTTGTCTCGTTAGTCAATCAACATGTCACGCTGGGGGAGAAAGAATGTGAAGAAGACGCCAGAGGTGATCCGCACTGTGACAGAAGGGCTCAAGTCCTTGTATCGTAAGAAGCTGCTGCCTCTGGAGGAGTACTATGGTTTCCATGACTTCCACTCTCTCAGTATGGAGGATGCAGACTTTGATAATAAGCCTATGGTGCTGGTGGTGGGACAGTACTCTACTGGAAAGACAACGTTCATCAAGTAAGACATTACAGCTCTGCATCAAACACGTATTCACTGGTCAAATGTGTGATTGCTAAGTTTATTTAGGAACCAGTACTGAAATAATCACAAGCTTTATGTGTGTGTGAGACAGGTATCTACTGGAGCAGGATATTCCTGGGAGCAGAGTGGGACCTGAACCCACCACTGACTGCTTCACTGCCATCATGCATGGGGAGGTGGAGGGAGTCATCCCCGGGAACGCCCTCATCGTAGACCCCAACAAGCCTTTCCGCAAACTCAACCCTTTTGGAAACACGTTTCTCAACAGGTGAGAGCGGGGATTTTATTCAGTGTGTTGTGTAATGATTCCTGACTAAGGGAGCCCGGATAGATATCAGCATGAAAAATGGACAAACTATGTGAGAGAACGCAAGAAGGGGAAACGGGGAAGGAGAGATAACGGAATGTTTCTTAGCTCTTTGGAATTTCAAGTCCTTGTGCCAAATTTCAGAGCGGGGAGGCACTTGCCTTATTCATGGAAAAATGGAGAAAGGGAGCGATATCACCAGAGAGGGTGATGAAAGCTAATGTACTCAGACAGGAACTGCAATGTACACAAGTTCAAAGATGAGGTCAGAGGGCTCCACGGCCCCTCGGTGCAAAGACAAATAGATGAAGTCACAGACTACGTGAGGCCCAGAGAACCCTGGAAGAGAAAGCTCAACACTGAAGTTCTTTCCTCTACTCTGCTTGCTGTCTGCTGCCAGATTTCTGTGTATGTTTTTACACCGATGCAAACCAAGAAAGAGGTCACATTCTTTACAATAAAGTGCTGTTAGCTGTTAGAAATGTGGACACGCAGACTGGAAGTGAACACACAGTCGCGCTATCGATGGGGCTCTAACGTGAAATTTCTGATGCCAGTTTTTTCCGGAGTCCCTCTCTCCCTGTACAGGGTGTGTTTGCGCACGTATTTGCGTCCCTCCATTTGCTTTGACTTCCTGTTCGAGGACCGTTGGGCTCGTTAAGCTCATGAGCCGCAGGAAGTGGAGTTGTTGTTCTAAGCCACACATCGTTAGCGGGCCTTATTGTTTGATTCTGGCAGAAGTGGTCATTTTCCTTCAGGAAGCCCACAGCAATGAGAGGCCTGCTTGAACACAATGGCCTGCGGTGGGAGGGGGTGGGGGTGTGGGGAGGGGGCAGCTTCCAATCTGCTCCTCGGATCACATTGGCTTCGTTGATAAGCGTTAACCATTTTCCACATGATTTAGATTCCTTCCTCCTGCTCTGATTTCAAACAAAACTGACCTCTCTGAACTTGGTCTTATCGCTGTGTATGTGACTTGGCTCCTGTCTGATGAAAATACCAGGTTCCAGTGCGCCCAGATGCCCAACCAGGTCCTGGAGAGCATCACCCTAATTGACACCCCGGGGATCCTGTCCGGTGCTAAGCAGAGAGTGTGCCGAGGTGAGGGAAAGAACAAAGGTGAGGAGAGGGAATGGGGGAGGCCTGCAGAGACGCACATCTGTGACCATCGGCTCACAAACTCATGACCTCGGCACGCCTGGCTAACCCATGGGACCAGTTCCCTCTGTCACCATAACACTTGGCAGCGGGGCAAGAAAACATCTCAGCAGTACCCTGAGCAGCCGAGAAACCCTAATCAGGAACAGAGATGGTACAGACAAAGATTCTGTCAGCACATCTGGAGGAATGTACTGTTGAGAAATAACTATCATCATCATCTCACAGTAGTTTTTTTACTTTTCTGTTCATCCATGCTTTAAGTAACCCATTATCACTCCAGTCAATCTGCATGAGCAACTAATACTTTTAAAGGGTCAGTGTATCCGAATTGTGAAAAGCGTATCTCCTCACTTACCACTGGTGGCATCTTGCGGATGGTTTTGTTTTTTATCTGGTGAGGTTTTGAAATATCTCAGAGATTTCTGCCTCCAACCAAAATACAACGGAGGTGAATCGAATGTTGTTTGTGGTACAAAACCAAAGAAAAAAGAAGTCCCAGTTTCTCCGGATAATCCAAACTATTTATTTAGTAAGACGTAGTTCCAGTGCAAACTGCTCACGGGGAAGTTTCCGGGTTATCCAGAGTACCTGGGACATTGTTTTTGGAAAGATGATGATGTTCCACAGTGTAGAAATACTCTGTTACAAGTCAAATCTTTGCATTCAAAATGTCACTGAAGCAAATGTACACAAGCATCAAAATACAAGTATTAACTATGCGGAATTGCCCATTTCAGAATAATATACTTCTATCATTGATAGATGAATACATATCATGTTGTATATAATATTGCAGCTGATAAATGAGGGGCTAATCGTAATTTCTTTATATACTGCTGTGTAGCCTAATCTTTAACAATATACCATATTTATTTGTTCATACTATTTTGTGTTAATAGTCTGAATCTTTAAAGTAACTAGCAAATATAATTATCAAATAAATGGAGTAAGAAAAGTACAATATTTCCCTCAGAATTGTATATAGTGAAACATAAAATAGAAATACTCAAGTAAAGTACAAGTACCTAAAATTGCATTGGAGTACAGTGCTTGAGTAAATGTAGTTAGTTATGTCCCATCACTGGACATCTTCCATGTTAAAAGTCAAAGAATCGTGATGACAACGTGGTGCCTGAGCGTACAGCTGGGTCGGGCAGATAAGAGGTGTGAAGGCTCTGTCTGTGTCGACCTTCTCCCCTCCCCCCTCTCCTTTTCTCTCTGTGAAGTGCATACTGCTTAGGTTTCTGAATATCTTCGTTATTCAACCCTGTTCTATCCAAAACAGGCTATGACTTCCCAGCTGTGCTGCGCTGGTTTGCGGAGCGCGTGGACCGCATCATCCTGCTCTTCGATGCCCATAAACTGGAGATATCGGACGAGTTCGCCGAGGCTATCGGTGCCCTGAAGGGCAACGAGGACAAGCTGCGCGTGGTGCTCAACAAGGCGGACATGGTGAGCACCCAGCAGCTGATGAGAGTCTACGGTGCACTCATGTGGTCCCTGGGGAAGGTGTTTGGCACTCCGGAGGTTCTGCGCGTCTACATTGGCTCCTTCTGGTCCGAGCCACTGATGGTTACAGACAACCGGAAGCTGTTTGAGCTGGAGGAGGAAGATCTGTTCGCTGACATCCAAAACCTTCCTCGCAATGCAGCTCTGCGCAAGCTCAATGACCTGGTCAAGAGGGCACGTCTTGTTAGGGTGGGTCATTATTGGCATGTCAACATGTGCTCACTAAATGCTTATTGAAAGGTTAGTTGTGTTATGTGTGCTGTGCTTTTCTTGATCCCAGGTCCATGCCCACATCATCAGCTACCTGAAGCAGGAAATGCCTTCTGTCTTCCGGAAGGACAATAAAAAGAAGAATCTGATCTACCAGCTGCCAGTGATTTTCTCTAAGATCCAGCTGCAGCACAACATTTCGGCTGGCGACTTCCCAGATTGTGCTAAAATGCAGGTGAGTCTGGTTTTTTGCAATTATGCAGACTTCTCTTTGACTTCTAACAGTTTCGTTATATTTAAATAAAACTTGACGTGTACCGGCTAACACATTTCAATCTCTCCCTTTTTGAAGGAGCAACTGATGGTTCATGATTTCACTAAGTTCAAAAGCTTGAAGCCTAACCTGATGGCGGCCTTGGATGAGTTGCTCGCTGCCGACATCTCCAAACTGATGCCCCTCCTGCGGCAGGAGGAGCTGGAGGCAGGCGAGCAACTAGGTGTGCAGGGTGGAGCCTTCATTGGGAACCGTGCTGGACCATTCGGAGAGGGCGACCCCTTTTCGCAGGAGAACGGAGAGGGATGTGAGGAGGAGGAGGACTGGGTGGTGACCAAAGACAAGCCCAAATACGATGAAATCTTCTACAACCTCGCTCCCAATGAGGGCAAGCTGAGCGGCAACAAGGCTAAGGACTGGATGGAGAGCTCCCGCCTGCCCAACTCGGTGCTGGGTCGCATCTGGAAGCTGTCGGATGTGGACCACGACGGCATGCTGGATGATGAAGAATTTGCCCTGGCCGGCCACCTGATTGAGGTCAAGCTGGAGGGCCATGGTCTGCCCCCTGAGCTTCCCACGCATCTGATCCCACCCTCCAAACGCAGGCAGAAGGGCTCTGATGCATAGACACGTCACATAGTCCCTGGAGCTGAGAGAGACTCTTCTCTATTGGCTGTGCTACTGTTGGTATTTGCTCTCTCTCTCTCTCCC